GTTCTAACACTTGTGTATTATAATGGCAGAATGTAATTTTGTATGCAAGTGCCTCATCTTGGTGCTGTTCTGCATGTTTGGTTTCTCCACCCTGGGACCTTTACAGGAGATAGTGGCAGGTGTTCTCCATCTGATTCTCAAGTCAAATTAAGACATGGGAAATGGAATGTCTTACCCAATATGTGCTACTTTTACATTTCTCCTGTAAAATTATTTACAGGATCATACTTTCGAAAATGACAGGGAAATCTGAAACTATTTTTTAATGGAGAAAGACAGAAATTAAGGTGATGATTACAGCAGTGTTACGGAAGAAAGTGGTAAAACCTCAGACCTTCCGTTCAGGATGCTAATCAACATTTTTATGTGTCTTAAAGACTCTGCTATAAATGTACTAATTCCTTGTTAGTGCTATGGGGAATTAGTTTGTGCTTCAGTGGTTCTTTTTTTTTGCATAAAAGGAGCTAATCTTGAGTTCTATGGCTTGCTTTTTCCCCTTCCATCTTGGTGTCTCCTGTGTCACAGTACCTCTCACATCTGATAAATGCGATACATTCTGGTTTGAATTGTTAACTCCCATTCATTTTCCTTGACTTGCCATGTGACTGCTGTTTCTGCTCTGGGGTCAGAACTGTCTTTAATATCAGAACCACCACTGGAATCAAAATTTTACTTTCATCATCTGGCTTTGTCAAAGTATTCCCAACTGTGACTCTAACATTTTAAAAATGGCTTTGTAAGAAGATAAAAGTTAAGTCATGCTTAAATTAATTTGTATACCAGTTTAGCAAAATACCAAAACACCACTAACTTAAGTTTTATCTAGGTTTTGACACCAATCATGTATGTGTTTGTCTTGCTATGTCAGCTGAGCTCTGACTGGAGTGGAGGCAAATGTGCAACAGCTGAGACAAGGTGCACCTTCTCTGGTAGCTTGCTTGGGGGTCTGAGCAGTTGTCTTATCATTCTTCTAAAAAATGAAGGACCTGATACTTAAAATGAAAGATGTGGATACTCTCAGCGCTGAAGCAGCTGTTTCACTTCGCTCACCTGCCCCCTTGCAGCTCTGCATAGGATGAGATATTACAAATGGTCTGTTAAAGGTAAGGTAACATACTATTTTCTCAGGTCTTTTCTAGATAAGGTATTACCAACAAAGCCTGTGATAGGCCTAGGTCGAGCAAATAGATGAAGTACCTTTCTTAAGTTGTGAAACATCCATGTCAGGTCAGTGAATTCTAAATGGAGTCAATATTGAAGTGCTGTTTACTCCACATGCTGTCACTGGGAATGTGACCTGGTAACTTGTATAAAATGAATTTCAAGTGTACTCAGTAGTAAAAAAAAAAAAAAATCCAAACCAAACAAACAAAACCCCAAAACCAAACAAGACTACCCCCCAAACCCAGTATTGGGGAGCTCTATGTATTGCTCTGTTGTGCACATAACTGGTTTTGCAGACTATTCAAAGAAAGGTTGAGAGTAGAAGTACATATTGTTCTTCCTGGTGTTAAAAATAGCTGTAAATTTATCTAAGCTACAATTGTGACAGTTAACCAATTTCTTCCTTGTAAATACTATTAGCACCACTAACATGAGTGAAAAATAATACTGAACCTTTGCTGTAATATTCTGTATATATAAAGAGAAACTTTAAATGAGCAATTATTCTTTTGCTAAAGGGCTACCTGGCAGTGTTAATACTTACTCAAATATAGTTATCTCTTTCTTTTGTCTGCTTAAAAACAGCAGTCCAAAGGTCACTTAGATTATTCTGATGCAACTTTCTAACATCTCTTGCCAGCTTGCTTCCTGCCCGTTCCTTACTGGGCTAGAAGGCTGTACATAAAGCGATAGGTGCTACATCAACACCATAGTTAAAGCTGTTGTGTAGTTTAGTGTAAAGGAAATAGCTTAAAGTTAGTCTTTGAGACTGAATCTGTAGTCAGTTTTATTGGTACATCTTAGAAAGATATAAAGACATTTTAGAAATGCCTGGGGGAATTGGAAGAATCAAAGTCTTGCAAAAATATATTTGTAACAGTAGATTAAGTTCATTTGAGTTTTCATTAATAAATATTTACATGTACAAACCCCCCCTATAAACTTAATTTCCTTTTATCATAAACATTAGCAACTTATCATTTTATTCCAGCACTGCCAAAAACCAGAAGCATTTCTGTATAAAATATTTAGAAAAAAGTTCTCCTTCCCCTTTTAAAATGAAGAGCTTTACCAAACCTCAATGTGCAAAAAAAAAAAAAAAATCGTACACCAGTACCACCCGATACAAAAATTGAATCTGTCAGTACAAATGCGTGTTACGAGAAGAGCTGCCTCCACCATTCCAGGTGTCCTCTGAAGAGTCAGTCATTGTCTGAGCCTGGAGGTGGCAAGAAGACAAGCGCATCGTTGTACGTGTGGCCGTAGGGTCTCAGCCGGTAAACGCCGTACATCATCACGTGCATGTGGTTGGGGGCCAGGCCACTGAAGGTGATGGCCGTGTCAGAGCAGCAGCCGTCCACCACCTGCTGAGGGTGAGTAGACATTGCTTCCTTAATGAGAGCACCAACCGATTTCGTGTTAAAGACGTCTCTTCCTTCAGAATCTTCTGCGTTTTCAGCAAACACTCCGGTATACTTGAGGCAGATCGCTAGCTGTTTATCCTCAGCGAGTTTCCAAATCATACCTCCCTGCTCCGGACACCTGTCAGAGTCTTCAAGAACACGGGAGAATCGTCTCAGTGATTCAATGCTTAAGACTATTCCTCCCTCACCATGTACGTACTCAAGGTCACCAGATTTCACAGTATGTCCTATATAAAAAGGCTGTGAGGGGTCTTTTTTCAGTAAAAAATACTTAAGATTTTCAATAATAGCAAATGTTGTTGGATAGGCAAGGAAGAACCAGCTGAATTCATCTTTATAGCGTTCGTATGTTATCTTGTAAGCTTTTCTCATCATCACCCACAGATCATTTGTGTTGAGGGCTACAGAATCAAACACCTTGACGTTCTCAGAGCTGTAGAATTCTGCCTTGTCGCAGTGCTTGCTCCATGTCTCCTTAACTGCAGCCCACTGCCCCAGATCTTTGGGCTTCACAAGGATGATACAGTAAACACGGATACTTTTACTAAGCTCCATGCGTTCACCTTCTGAAAGGTTTAAGACATCTTCTTTGTTGGGAGCCTGGATGTGATGATGCTCGTGGTGATGTGCTTTAGTCCCGTGGCCCACTTTAATGTGTCCAAGGAGTGTAACCAACATGCAGAAGGCTCCTCCTAGCACCACGCCCTTCACGAAAGAGCTGGTTTCAGAAATCATTTTTCCTAGAAAGGAGACACACGGTAAGAGCTCACAGGAATAAGTTTCCATCTGGTTTAACACGCTCTTCGCTTGCTCAGCCCAGCTGCGGTTCTCTCACATCGTGCACCACGACAGAGCCCGGGGCTGAGCGGCGTCAAAAGGAAGATCTCCAACCGCGGGTCTCGCTACCGTTCAGGTCACGACCGACCCCCGGAGCTGCTCTACCGACGTGACCGCACGGCCGCAGCGCCGAGACGCCGCCGCGGCGGCATTTCCTCCCCTCCCGGGGGCCGCCGTTCGGGACCCTGCCCGCCACCCCACTGCCGGCGGCGCGGCGTCCGCCGCGGGGCCGGGGCCGTGCCCGGGAGCACGGCGGGATCCGCATCCCCCCCTCCCCCCCGCCGCCGCTTACCGGGGCCGCCCGCGCGCAGGACACCGGCACCCGCCCCGCCCCTTCCTTGTCCCCGCCGGAAGCGGCGCACGGGGCCCTTCTAGGCACCGCCCGCTCGCTGGGTATGTAGGCGCCCCCTGTCGGCGCGGATGCTATCTCGCCGTCCTGATGCTGCCGCCCGCGCCCCGCCCTCCCCTCACAGCGTCCATCCCCCCCGCCCCTCTCACCGCGGCCGCTCCCCGCGGGCGCGCGGGCGGCCCCTCAGGGCAGGCGGGCGCGGAGCGGGGAGGACGGGGGTTGCGGCAAGGCCGAGGCTGCCTCAGCGCCCTTGCGCGGTTGGCGGGAGCGGTGCGGCCCGACGCCGGTTCGCCTTCAGGCAGAGACGCGATGGGTTTTCCGGCCGGGCGGCTGCCGAGCCCGCGTGGCGGGGCGGCCCCGCCATCTTGCGGGGAAGGGCGGCTGGCGGCTTCTCGCCGGCGAAGCCCCGGGACGGCTGGGTCCGCCCCGGGCTGAGGCAGAGACGCCTGCAGAGGCTGGGTAGCCCCTCGCGTGCTGTCTGCATCCGAATCTGTGAATGTATTTACGTGACTAATGGGGAAAGCAGCTTAAATTTCTAGCACAAACTCGCTGCTTCTAAATTGGGAGGTGTACGACCGGGGACAGAATGGAGAAGGAAAGGCAGAACCAGACTTAAACCATATTTAGGAAAAAAAATCTGCTGTTGCAGATTGCATATACTGCCCTAAATTTCCAAACCAGTGCAATAAACTGTGCTGGAAGCACAGTGCATTTCAGTTCTTTCTCTTTCCCTCAGCATAGAGAACAACACACACACAAGATTAGTTAATATTCAAAGAGTAAAGCCAAAACATTTATCTACTAACATGACTTTTCCTTTCCTTTAGTGATAATTATTCCTGAGCTCCAGATGGAAAGAAGTATGTCAGAATCACTTTCTACACAGCATCTCTCAAGAACTTGGAACTGACACCTGATTTGAAGGAGCATCATTCAACAGTCTGCTCCCTTTTCCCACTGGCCTCTTGGGGAGAAAAAAAAAAAAAAAAGGTTTTATATGTTTAGTCTTTATTAACTGATTGTAGTATACCCTTAGGCCAAAATAGTATTTAGGATAAAATCCTATATAGGTGTTCCCTATATTGTGAGGTATGCCCTGGTTGGACGAACTTAGTGGATTCAAGTCAATTTACAACTGAGCTGCCCTGCATTCTCTGGCATCTGGCTGGGTTCCCCAGATGCCTCAGTTATTCAGGTAAATTTTTTTTTTTTTTTAGGCTCGTGGCTGTACTGTAACATCAAAGCTTAACGACGATGTTATCTCTGGCAAAAAGATCTGTAAGAACATTGATTGCTTGACTCATCTGGGCCTGGGGAACCATTGCTTGTGGTTCAGGTAAAAATTATACAAAATTATGGTTTTGGTTGGATCACTATGTCTAAAATGGCTCCATTCAGTGGAACTAAACCCCAGTTACACACTGTGATAGGAAAATACTGTCAGTTGGGTAGTTCTGTTACTACACTAAGGGAGCATCATTCATCCTATCTTTTCCCACCTGACTGTTTTTAAGGTATAAATAGGTGGACACTCGGGTTGTTACCACATACCTCTGATTGGAGATCAGTTCAAAGTTTGGTTTACGTATCTCCTGTTTGCAGAATCAATTGTGGCTTTCAGGGCTTCAGCAGTTACTTGATCATGTATTTTAGAGAGATTCGAATGCGTTGCAACTGACTGCTTCAGCTGATGCTTCAACAAATTGTTTTCCTGCTTGACTTCAGTGAGGTTCTTTCCAAGGCTCTGACAGAATGACTAATGTAGCTACAGATCTTGACTGTTGCTTTAATATATTTTCAACACTGCTTTTTTCCAGCAGCAGATCAGTGAAGAGAAAGTTTAAGCGTTATGTAAAGCATGTTATAAACCTGAAGAGACTTCTGGCTTGAAATTGTTGCTTGGTGTTAAAAGGATTAAAACGGTGTAGTAATGCATAAGACCTCACAACAGCTATTTTTAAGTATTCTGGAGCTGTATTAGAGTTCATTTTAGACACACATGTACTCGAGTAAACTAGCCATTTCAAATTACTACAAGAAACTGTTTTTAAGAACTGCAGGAAATAAGTGTTTGAAGTCATTGTGCCATGGGCTGACAACCAATCCAATGTCATAAGCCAATTTAGACCAGCCCTAAGATGGAGGTTAAGGGAGGAAAGTCAAAGGAGATGCTCAGTCACATGGTAGAAATGAACCAGAGCTGACTCCTCTAAGATCACCTCAAATGGTAGTGCATTAGTTTTGTATTAAAACATGCAGCCATGTATGTACACAGAACATCGGCCAGATTTCAGCTTTGAATACTGACTTGCTCTCCATTGAGAAGTTTGTTAGCTGCAGCTTCAGACCTTAATTTCTACTGATTCTTCATAGTATCTCTACCACACTCGCAAACAATAGCAGCTTTTGAAACCTACAGACCTGTGCCAGGATCTAAACTGCTGACAGAGCTGAAGAGCTCCACAGCTTGTTGCTTGTCTCGACACACAGCTGATCCCCTGCTGCTTTCTGTTTGTCTTTCCTTGCTGGCTGCAGCTGCCTTTGCCTCCTGATGCTCTTTCTTGCCTCCAAGGAAAGACATCAAACATTATGTTCTCATTGTGTGGTCCAAAGTGTCTATGAGAGATTGGCTAGTATCAAAACATATTTGATAGGAACTTTGTTCCAATTAATGCAAAATGTTTCAGCTGACACATGAGTTGTCATCTTTTGCAGTGACAGCTTGTTAATGATCACAAATGACTGTCCACTCTTGGAAACAGACTAATCTGTCTCTCTGATATGTAAGTGTGCAGCAGAGAGGCTGGGCTAGAGCAGTGCAGTAATATTCAGAATGGGTAACCGAAGGTAGAGGTGAGCTACTGCAGATGTTTCTGAGCAGTTAAAACACCAGTTGAGCTATAGGCCATACAGAAAGAACCCGCAATCAGAAGATACTGTTGCAGTTACTGGAAATGCAGAGGTATGGTTGAACTAGGACACCTCACTTCGTTGTCACATCCCCCATATATTTATAATACTGAAGCTACTGGAAAACACACAAGTTCTACCTGCCCATCTGACTGTCAGAAGAGGGAGTCCAGTGTGGTTATGGTCTGAAGGTGGCAAACTCTCCTCTTGAATAGCTGAACTCCCATTGAAGCCAACAGAGACAGTGCAGGAAAAGGGCTTTTATGAAGAGGTCAATCTTACTGTTCTGTTACATGCCTGGTACTTCCATTGTTTTATTCAGCCTGTGAAGTGCATAATTGAACAAACATGTCTGCTGAGGTCCTCAATCCTATTGTTGGAAAAAGTTTGGGAATCCCTGTTCTAAAGTCATAAAATAGTGAGGTGGAGATTCTAGTTTACAGGTATGTAAAGCCAGATTTCTTCACTTCATGGGGAGCTGCTCAGCTCAGCCTTTTGTTTGGAGGAAGATGGATTCTGGAGCCAAAATTGGCCCCTTCTGAAAATTTTGCCCTGCATCCTCTTCTGGGCTTTAGTTTCATACTTAAAATCTGGAATCGGGAAAAACATGGACTCTTTGTAGGTCATGTGCATCTTGAGCAAGTGCACAGTCATATGTGATGCCAAGACCTTGTCACAGGGGTAGGCACTGGACAAAGGAAGAAAAAATTTAAAGCGAACACGAGATAGTGTTATATTTTTTTAATACTAATTTCAAATCTTAATTTAAAGTATTTACGTCTGAAAAAGTCTTTTCTCCAGTTGTTGGACAAAATGCTGGAATTACAGGATGAAATTGTATAGCCCACATTTTATAGGAGATAATGCATAATATGATATTTTAGCCTTGAAATCTGTTAAATTGATTAATTATGTTAAACAGTAGTTGTAAGTCACTTTTCTCTCCCCTTTCATCCATGAGCACTGTCAAGGAAGGGCTTGCCATTGAAATAGCCATTATTTAAATGGTGCCCTCAAGAACAGGAAGATACATGAGAAGCAAAAGATGTGTGACTCCAGAAGAACTTAACAACTTTGGACTGCTTTATAATTTCTTCAGTTTTTAATGTGTGTAGCTGAATGCAAAATCCATCTTATTCTCTGGGTATGCTAAATCAATCAAGTGAATGCTAATGTCCTGCTAGCTCCAGCAACTCAGCTGGAATTGAACTAGCAGAGACAATGCCCAGAGCTGAGCTGACATCATTGTGAATGGCTCTGATGCACAAATACAACAGAAAGAGAATATGAACTAGACATTTTAATGTCAGCTCTATCAGAAGCACAGGGGAAAAAAAAATCATCATTGATCAAATAGAAACAGTCAGGGGGGAAAAAAAAAAAAGCATAGATAGAAAAATCTTATTTTTCAAGCTCCCAGAGGAAAAAAAAAAAGTGGAGATGAAAATAGAGTTCTATCAGAAAGAATGGGTTCTTAATAGTCCTTTAAAATAAAATGCATGAAACAGTGATGAAGTGATTTTGCTGCATCTTTAAGGAGCTTGCTTTTGTCAGTCTGAGGTTATTTGGAAAAAGGTCTCTGCAGAAAATTATGGTCTCAAATTATAGCTTTTCAGGCTCAGATTGCATAGGTAGGAAGCACTATTGCGAGCAGCAGTGACAAGGACAACCCTGTAGCACACAGAGAAGCCAGAAGGGGAACCTTGCTCTTTGGGAGTGGCCTTGACCATGATTTACGGACAGTTTGTGGAGCCTGAGCACAGGACTAGGTTTGTGTTTTGGTTTACAGGAGTTCTGGTCCAATGTCTGAGAAATTATGCTCTAAACATTGCCTCAGCTTGGTTACCTGCAACCTGGAGATACACAAAAGCTTCTGGCATGGTGTTTATTGTAAAAGGGGTTATGGTGAGTAAATAGTTATTGTTGCTAGATGGAAAGATCTGTGAAGTTCTGTTGACATTCACTCACTAATAGAAGAGGAGAAAGAGGAAGGATGGAAATAGCAGAGCATTTGACAGGCCTGAGTGTCAGTAGCTTCTATGAAATGCCTTCTTGTACCAAATGTTGACATCCCTTCATTTCGCCAAAGAAATTGAGGTTTTGAAGTATCAGTCTCCAAGCAGACGTTTGCTTTCCTACACTGATGTTGAAATAGGAGACTCCTGAGCTGTATGTGCAGTGGCAAAACAAAAATGTCTGCTAGATAGGTGTTTGCAATAAACTGGAATTATTAACAATGTTAGAGCAGAAAATCAGAGCCCTGTACTGCAACTGTAAATCTGTGATTCAGCACGGAGGAGATGTACCATGAACATGATATGCCTGGTCCTGGGATGGGGGAAGAACTGTTTCATCTTTACCTGCTAGCTGACGACCCAGGAAAGAGAGAGTTTGTTCTGTGTAGGAGGGCATGCTGTTGCTCCGGCACTGCGATCGGATGTAGAAGCTTTATGCTTTCTGGTGAAGCAGGGATGTAACCAGGGCTAATAGCCTGTGTGTGTGAGCAGGGAGTAGCATAGACTGCAGGCAAGAGAGGAGAGCACACAGGGTCTGAGATTGTTGCATTTGCGATTGATTGTGGTGTCAGATTTTAGCCTCTTTCAAACAGATGTTGACAGTGTTGTATTGTCTCACAGGGACTCAGCTTGGCCATGCTATCTGGTTTTGTTCAGTTTGGTTTGTACATAGTGGGCTGTGTTTAGATTCCTGACTCTTACAGCTACTGCAGCTACTGCACTGTAGCCTTCAGCAGGGGCACTGCTGTCGACACCTAAACCACAGCGCTCCTGCGCTCGGCCTTTTATTGGCCTTTATGGATCCCTTTAACTTACACAAAAACGCCAAGGTGCCACTGCTCCTTAGCACTGTGGTAGTATCTGCAGTGTGCCAGAGGCTTAAACTTATGGGTGGGGGCACCAGGAGAAAGGCACCTGGGGGATTGCAGACCCTACAATGCTCAGTGTTGCTCCTGGCTCCCTGCAGTGCTGGCATGGAGGATGGCAGCAGTGCGCAGTGAATATTGGTCCTGTTTGCACCAGCTGCACCTCCCAGCAGTCCTCTCATGGCCAGGAGCAAGCCATTGTCACTGCTGCTTGGGGTGGCAGGTACAGATAAGATGTCATGCTTCCTAATTCCCAAGCGAAAGAGATCCTAGGCAGTAAATACAGTGGGGTCTGTTGAGGAGCAAGGGAAGGAATGCTGTGTGCTGCATAATCTTCTCTGTTCTCCACTCATTTCTACAGAGCTTCCCTGTACTTTACACTCTCTATGTGGAACTTTTTTTTTTTTTTAATTAATATAAGCAATATCTAACATGCTCATAATTATGAGAGTACATTCTGTCATTTCAAATGTTGATATACTGACACATGGATAATGGTGCCTTAGTTCCCACTCATATCTAAACATCTACGTTGAGGTAAGAAT